ATCTTTAAGTTGGGAACGGGCCGTTCCAACAAGGAGAACGGGCCGTTCCAAAGGGAGAACGGGTCGTTCTGCTTAGATTGAGAACGGGTCGTTCTGCTTTTTGGGAACGGGCCGTTCTATTTTTAGAACGGGCCGTTCCAAGGGTTTTTTTTTTTTTTTTTCATTGTTTGTCAAGAATATGTTTTTATTGGATTATTTCATACATATTTCTATATTGGTGAAATTCCACTTTGAGCTTTCACTTTTATAATTTTGTTTTTGGTCATCATTTCAAAAGTTTCTAATTAATAAAATATGTATGTGTTTTAAAATTCTCACTTTTCTTTTATTCTAGCAATGTAGAATTTTGTTTATATCTTAACAATTATCTCTTCAAACAAAAGACTCAACTTCCCAATTAGTAAAATATATCTTGTATTACACCTTAATTATTGTTGTTTGTTTGTATGAATTATGAGTTATTGGTTGTCATTGAATTCAACTAATGGTATCGTTGTTGTTATTTATATGAGTATGTATCCCAACAAAGTTGATTGATTTTGGTTTTGTGCCACTATTTTTTAGTCAACTAGTTAAGCGACATTTGAAAACTTGGATATAAATAAGGATGACAAAAAAACTCATATCCGCAAATACCTTTGAATAAAATTCACCATACATAATAAATTGATAGCTTAAACAAATATTTATAAATAAGATGTATGCATATCACCACACAAAAGTTAATTTTTTATAACCATTATTTTTGTTCTTAAGGGAGCATATAAATAGTAATTATTTTTTTACTAGCAATTAAATAATGATTAGATTGGATTTTCACCCAAATCTAAACCAATCCGTCCCATCAACACTTCAGGTTATTGTAATGCCTTCCATGCTCTAATTTTTTTTCGTATTAATTTTATAAAGTTACTGATTTCAGTGTTGATTTACAATGCCCCGCTTCTATGTAGGTGTTGCACAAGAGACCTTCGAAATTTACATGGGGCAAAGCAAGAGCAATAGCAATGCAATCGGTTATTTGGGTTCAAGGTAAAATTAATCACATGTGAAGTGATTATAATAATAAAAAAGAAAGTAGTACAGCTTGGTTGGTAAATATTGCTGTCACCTTTCCATAAAAATAAGAAACTTTGTAAGATCTAATCACCTAAGTAGCACATACCACTCCCATATCGTTTTATGCAGTCTTTTAAAAGCTTATTATACTCATTACTATTCCCTGTTAATTTTTAAAAGCCAACGAAAGCCATCCTTACGAAACCTACATATGACGTTATAAAATTTGACACGTTATCTCATTAACGCAGTCTTAATAATTCGACCCTATGCTATAATTATATTATAAAACTTCTGTACAGAATTATGAAGGGATAAAAGAATCAAAGGGAGTTATTCTACCCAAAGAACACTTCTGAACACGCAAACCAAACAATTCCATTCCATTGTCTAGGAAATCAACCTCTGCCTAAGGAGAAATTATTACACAGTCAAAATTAAATGATCTTGAATAATCTTTATGTGACAGGTGATTGAGTTTTATTAAATTTTGTTTGTAAATCGAAATAGTTGATCGATTTGGTGTCACTTAGAGATTGGTTATGGTAATTTTAGACCATGCAATAATTTCTTGTGTATGGTATTTGGATCCTCAAAGAAAATCCATTGACACTCAGCACCCAAAAGAATGAGATTATTGAGCAAGAGAACTTAATCAAAATCAAGAGAAGGAAGAATACATACTCGGAGCATGTGGAGACAGAGGAGAATTTTTTGGAAATATTAGAGAGTTAGGAGGTAGCAGCGAATTTGCAGGTGTTGGTCTAGTTGTTGTTGTTGGTGCTGCTAATGGAGACCTTGCTAAGCTTTTGCTACAACCCCCACCATAAGATTGCTGATTATAACAAAGGCAGATAAATTCATCCACAGAGGCATTGTGTCCACATCTCCCACCATGTTGTTTGCAACCATCACATTGGTCTTCATCCACACCACTCCACAAAACCTCAAATCCTTCTTTTATAACATCTTTCACAAACGAAGTATCCTTCACAGCCTCTCTTAGGACACTAACACTGATGTTTTTATTGCACACCAGATCCATCAAATTAGCCACATCACTACTTGACACAAAGAATGCTTCTTGAAAACCACTATCTATGGGGCAACTAAATGGTTTTAAATCATCGAGATTCAAACTATACTTTAATGGATTTGGACTGCAGTCATATAACAAAGTATAGTTTCCATCGTTGGAAGTGTAGTTGAAGAAATCAAAATCCAACTCGAAACTGATGTACTCATTAGGACAAGGGTCATCCAATAAATCCACGCTTGCAATCTTCAAAACCTTAGATGTTGGCTTAATATCAATAACATAGAACGTATGTGACATCATGTCAATTGTCACGTTGTCTTGTTGGCAATCAAGCTTGAGCTTTGGATGACCACAATATTCTGGTTGGTCGCTTCTCCAAAATGGGAAGCTTATGTTGTTGAATTTCCCACAGCTAAAAGGTTCACATGTTGTGTACCCTTCAGCATCACTAGATAGATATGTTGTGAAGATGAGGAAGAACAAGAAAAGGGTCTTGATGAAGGAAGAAGGAGGAGGCATGAGAGAAATCTGAGAGTGGCCTTAATTTCGATCAGATGATCCCTTTTGTTGTGTGTTGGTGAGGCAAAAGATTAAGTACAGGACAATGATCTATGCATCTAAGTCAAACTAAAGTGACGTTAAACTTGGTTAGTTGGTGGTTACCATAAAAATGGTGTTGACCATTTGGAAGTAAACATTAAAAGGGGCAATCTTAGCATTAAATTTTGGTTTTGCAAGCATGAGCGTTGTCGGGTAAAATTTATTCACTGGTTGCTAAGGTGTCTTTGTCATATTAGTGATTTAGTGATTAGAATTTTTTTCAATTCTATTTAATGAAACAAGATAAATTCAACCAAGGAGAATGATAAACCAGAGGAAAATGTACAAGATATAAACTTGAAGAAGACTTGTTTCAAAGTACTATTAATTCTATCAACGATTAATTTCAGCTGAAAAATTTAACAGATCACTTTTAATATAGTCTTTTGTATAATTTTTATTTCCGATTATACTTTTTCCATCCATGAAACTAGAACCAAAGATGTTTAAGAAAATTGAGTCAAATTTTATTTGAACCATATACTTAGCTATTTGTTTTTACTAATTAAAGTATATTACTAAAATAAAAAATTATACCCAAGATACAACGAAGCTAGAAAAGAAAATTGTTCAATAGAAGTTTGGATTGACCAATACAAAAGACAATATGTGTTTTGCTGGAAAACCGTTGTCCAAAACTAGTTGCGCAACAAGCAAACTGATAACACAATAATTAATTAAAACTAAAACCTTCTACCTACCACTTTTTTATTATTTAATATTTTCCCTTTTATTAAGAAAAACATTTACTACTACGCGTGGGATAAGGCCTTATAAGGGAATGAGTTTCCACTACTTTTCCCCTTTTAATGGTATGAGTTCAGTTAATATAAAAAAATACATGTTTATATTATGTTCTAAACGAAGAGATTTTTGTATAGAGAGCAATTCAGAAAATGCTGATGCAAGGTTAGGTAAAGGGGATTTAAAAAATAGCATTGTTTGTGTATACTCCATTTTTATTACTATGTCAGCAAAAGAAACGAAATATTGAGACTAAATAATTATTCTGTAGTTCTCATTCAACAGACATGGTTGTCCTCATTTTCCCAGTTATCCTCTGACTAAATTATGTTCATAATTGGGCCCATCACTCCATAACTGTACGGATCATGATATATATACCTATATTTTTTTTAAATAAGTACACTCCCTTTTAAAAAAAATAATTAAATTCTTAAAATATTTTTAATTTTTATTATTTTTAATTTTTTAATTTTACACACCTAACATTTAATTTAACACTTTTTTTACATATCTCTTTCATTTATTTTCACATCTACCCTCTTAATTTTTCTTCGCTCCTACCTATTTTGAACGGTAATTTTAATTTTTTTTTATTTTACATATTGTTTTTCTCTTTCTCTTTCAGTTTTCTCACTGATTTCACCGTATAGTACTCTACAATAGTGGAAATGTCTTTTTCATATCACTAAACTTAATGTTAAGGTTTTTGGAGGGGTGAAAGGAAAGGAGGTGTTGAAAAAAAATGTGTATCTAGTTTGATAGAAACTGTCAAGGAAGCTACATGTACCTACAATGTTGTCGTCTACCAGTTATATGATTTTGGTGCATGTAAAAAAGTGAAAGAGGTGAGAAAATAAGAGAGTAATATAAAATTTGAGAGAGCTAAAATTACTCACTAAAATAGGTGAAAAATTAGAAGAAGACATGATTATGCATGTGAAAACCGGAAAAGAGAAGAAAAAATGTGTGTGTGAAAAGAAAAAATAATAAATTGAAAGTTAGAGATGTAAAATTAAAAATGTAAAGACTAAAAAAAGTTATAAATATTTTAAAAATATTTATAAAAAAAAAACAAAAAAAGCTATACTTATATAAAGAAAAAAAAAAGTATATATATCATTAGCCTAACAGTACATTGCAATTTGCAACAAAGGCCTTTGGGCTCGTATATGGGCAACCCAATAGTCCCAGTGACTCAAGTTCTAAAGCCCATTCCCAAAGTCAGTACCTCATTCCCAACCAATATATACCCAATCTTTTACACTTATAATATACCCCCAAAATTAAATACACCTTAAGATCAAAGAGACAATTTTTTAATGTTAACGTAACATTTTTCTTCATAATTGATGAGACAATTTTATATTTACACAATCTGTGGTCTACTATAAGTCTATAAGATGAAACCAGAAACCAACGAAGATATAAAACCCTGAAATATGTTAAAAAAGATATGGAGGAAGTAAACTTGGATACTCTAAACCATATATACTAATTAATTAATACAACGAAAAATCAACCAAATAAAACATCCAAAATGAACTACAACATCTAATCAAGCTGTAAAGTTAACCTGATATCTATCTATTACGAGTAAAAAAAAAGTCTAAATAAGACAATCTAATCAAGGCATGCAAACTTGTAAAGTTGTGTATGTGAATATAAGAAATGTTAGGCACACTTTTTCTAACATTATTTTTTTAATACTCTTTATCATTAATTAAAAATTGTATTTTTCAGTGACTTTTCCAACCAAATCATAAAATATAGTCATTAAACAAAACGCATGACACAAAATAACTTTCAATCAATAATAAATAGTGTTAAAAAAAATAGGGTCGTTGAAGATTGCACATAAAAATAGACAATTTTAATTTTATAATAGATAAAACAAGTGTACCTTTTTTGCAAGTTCTGGCAACAGTTCTACCATCCCTGCATATGCACCTTGATTGCATAGTAGTTATGTTGAATCTGCAATTCCCACCAGACTCCTCACACACAGCACAATCCGCAGCCCTATTCCAATTAAGCACAAACCCTTTCTTCATAGCATCACCAAAACCACTAATCAAATCACCACTTTCAATCTCATCATTCAGTATCGTCACCACAACATGCTCCTCACACTGCCTAAGCAACTCACCACCATGGTCATGATCACCTTCATCCCCCAACACAAACACATAAGACTGATTCCTACCACTTGTCATGCACTCTATAGGCTGAACAGATGAAGGGTGAAAACTGCAGTTGAAATAGAAACTGAGATGCAAATCCAACGAGCTGAAAGACAAAGGAAGGTTTTGTATGGAAACGTTGTGGCGTGCCCTAGGACATTGTTGGTCCAACACATCTATGTCAACAAGTGTAATTGAATTAAGACCATAGTTTATATCTGTGACATAGTATTGGTCACTAGGGAAACTCATGATGGCATGGCCTTCATGGCATCCAAGGCCAAAATCAGGATAACCGCAAAATTCCCCATTGGTGGAGGTGTTGGACTTGTTCCAAAAAGGGTAGAGAATGGAGAGGTTGCCACAATAAGAAGGAGCACATGTTGTTGTTGTTGTATTAGCATGACATGTCACGAGGATGATGGACAGTGCAAAGAGGAAGCACAAGGGTTTTGACATGGCTTAGTTGATCAGATACTTGGTAGTGATTATGTTTGAGTGAGGTGATGAATGATGAAATATTTGCATATATAGCTGCAAATTTTCTTCGATGTGACGAGGTAGTCAAAGGAAATTTTCTTAGGGTCCAATTCTTTGATTAAAAAAAGGCTGCCCAATTCGCCCGGCAACGTAACGTATTATAACTTTTGCTACATTATGAAGATATTTTATTTTATAATTTTTTCATCAGATAATTAATTAGTAATTTTTACGTGAGAAAATTTTATCCAAATCATTTAAGGATCTATTCGAATAAACTATTCTGTAAAACAATTAAAAAAAAGTAAAAAATAAATAAATTTATGAGCTAAAATTAACTGATATAGCTAAAAAAACAAGTTTTTGAAGATTAGAAAAATGAAAACATTTCTATAAATTAAATTAGGTATAAGTTAATTTTAATTTATAAAAAATTTAATTTATTTTATATTTATATTTTTCTCTTATAAATACTATAACACCATTGATTTTGTGATGTATTAATTTTACTGCATGAGTATATTGTTGTTAGTAGCTTTGTTTGGGATCTCAAGAGTAAAGGGACTCCGAGGGATTTAGTTGGTCTCTAGAGTTGAACCAGAGATAAGTTGGGTTAACTCAAAAAAGGTACATAAAGATTTTCTTTAGAAATGAATTCATAACTCAAATTTAAAAAAAAAAAAAACTGGAGAGATTAGAGAGAGATTCTCTAAACTAAATCTTCTTCTTCTTTTGCTTCTTCTTCTTTTGCTTCTTCTTCTTCCATTTCTTTTAAAAACTTTTGTCATCTCCCTTCTTGTAGTTGATCCATAGTTGCGAAGCTTGAAATATGAACTTGAGGAGTTGAAGATTTTGAATCGTGGTCGTGCGAAGCTTGTTCTGCTTCTTTTCTCCTTGAGTTAGTTCTCCGAGAGGTAAAGGATGTTGGTTATGTTATATGCATGCTGATTGTTGTTACCCATAATCACTAAATTTGTTTTGTTATTATTAAATTCCATTGGCTATTGAGTTATGGGATTGGGGTTTTTCTTAAGGTAATTGTATGTTGAATGTGGTGAATCATTGATTTTGTGGTTGCATGTTGTACATGCAATTGTTTTTTAGTTGTTTTTTATGTTTGAATGTGGTGTTGTACAATGCATGTTGGACATTTGCTAGATTTCAAGTGGTATAACTTGAAATCATGTTCTGCACAAATATAGAACTAATGTCGCGCCATGCACACCTTCAAGGCAGCGGGCATGGTTCAATCAAGGACACTTTGTCTTGCTCACATCGGATGCAGGATCGGTAGCGCCAGAGAGGGGAGAGTAAATTGTCTTAGATTGAACTAATGCAAACGTGGTTTGAATGGTGTATCAAGCATGAAGGGAGCAAATCGTCTAGGGTTGGTGTGAGATTGGACATGGGTTGTTGCCATATCAGGTGCGAGGTTTTAGGGGTCTATGTGTAACTCATGTCAGGTGCATGTATAGAATGACACCAAGTGTGGTGAGATAAGGAGTCATCTACCTCAATGACATCAGACGACCTTAAGTGGCATTAGGTGCGATATGTATGATGATAAACTTGTTTAAGTTGTTTTTAGTTTAATGATGATGATAAGTTGTGAGATGAATGATGTATGATGATAGAAGTATATGTCATAATTATTGATCTAATATGTTATAATATTTATATTATTGAGTTGTAAGTACATTTATAAATATGTTGAATAAGTTTGACATGTTGTGAGATGTTATAGATGATTGACTTGTAAAGTTACATGTTTAAGTTATTTAAATTGTTAGACATATGATTGAGATACATGTCTTTATTAAGATATATAAAAATTAGAGAAGAGTATTAGTATTGTTTTCAAAAATTAAATATTGCATTATGTGAATATGAGATGTGGTATTCTAAGATCCCAAGTGTTGAAAAATTTTCAGTAAATAAATTGATTTTTGAATAAAATGTTTGTGTTGTCTCCTCTAGATGTGTGTCGTTTTAATTTTTTTTGTTATATAATAATTGAACCATGATAAGTGTAATAATATGTCATATTGTTATAAATATTTTAAAAAAATGTTTATCCAAATAAATTTTAAGATTATTATAAATAATAAAACTTTTGCCAAATATTTAAGATTGTAACTTAAAGTTGAAACTTAAAAAAAAAATTAAAAAAAAAAGATTACTAGTTTAATTAACTTAACAATTTTTGTTTCGATTATTTCACATAAGATAGGTGATATTTTATAAAAATATTTTACTTCTTCGTTACGCGTAGCTCTTATTTAGTAATTAAGCTTTATTGGGAATGTGCTGTGTGCATGGCAATTCAGAAGAATCTTGAATTGATCCCCAAGTTTCAACTTCAAAAGGGATCAAGCAGAAAATTATAAAAATTTTGATGAATGATGGCTCAATACGCGGTTCCACGAAATTCAATGGGTTATTTTTAAACTTAATTTGAAGTCGTCATTGGTTTCATAAAAACTTTGGGATATGTGATTATTAAAATAATGCTTCATGTATGTATATAAAAATCAGAAACGCGTGCCTTCCACATTCCTTTAATATTATAAATAAACTTCGTACGTCCTTCATTGCATAATGCATACTGGTTTTAGTGAAGTGGAAATAAATGTATTCATGGGGATGAAAGAGTAACACCATTCACCAAGCTGGCATATAATAAGATCAAAACTTTGGAAGTTGTAGTAAATGGTGTTGAATGAATTCATCATTCCGTGGGCAGGTAATGGTATCGACCGGGTATTATTGCTTTTGATAAAGAAAACACTAATACTTACTTCATTGTGTCTTATTTTGGTTATTTTTTTGGAAAATCAGATCACAATCCTTGTTGACACACTTAAGATATTTTTCTTCTATCAAAGAAAATGAAAAGAAAGAAGAAATAAAAATAAATAAATAAATAAAAGGTGACATAATTTTTTTGAGTTATATACTTTATAGAAAAAAAAAGTTAATATATTTCTTTCTTTCTTCAAACTTTCCTCTCATAATTCTTATCCAACCAAACAAAGCATTAAGAAAGAAAAAAAAAAAAAGAAATGTATTATGATAGATATTTTATTGTGATCCATATAGATATAAAAGAAATAATAGATCTTAGTAGAGTGTTCAAGATATAAAAATTTCTATGTTAGTTTTAAAATGGAAAAGAAAGCCATCAAGAATGAATCCTATGCAAAAATAGACTAAGAAACATAGAAAATGAAAATACTCAACAAGAACTTAAAATATAAACAGAAAAAATTTAATAACAAAATAAAAAGATTAAAAGATGAGAGCACAATAGATTTATTTAATTCAATCAATTTAATCTACATTTGCGGGAGATAGCAAATTCCATTATTTGAAAGTAAGTCTTTACAATAGAGCAACTTTTTGCTCTTCTCTAAAAGTCCTTAATTTTGACAAGTTCCCTTATGCAATAAAGCGAATTCTTTTTTTACTTTAGAGTCTGTTTGCATTAATACACATAAGAATTCACACATTTCAATGTACCACACTTAAAAAGCAAGAGTTTTTGTCTCTTCCATTCAATACAAATTTGTAGATTTTTAACAGTAAACCAAACATGCACTATCATATTCCCTTCAAAGCTTTTGCACTTGTAGTCTCATTCTTTCATGTTCACACTTAACATTTCACTTTTGCATCACACACACACATAGGGATTTATATGCATGTAGGTGTTTAGGATTTAGGATATATGTATGTATACATATACATACACATATATACACACACATACTTATGAGTTAGGATCCGTTAACATCAAATGTAAGTCTAAAAACTTACACAAAACCTAATACATTTGATAATCTTGTATAATGAAAATTTAATCGATTCAATCATTGAATAATGTAATAATATACTTAAGACCATTTATATCAAATTTCATATTATTTGAACTTTTCTAGATATACTTTTCAAAAATGAATATTTACATATATTTTAAATATCATATTATACGTTAAAATAAAATAATGTGATGAACTACTAAATAATTTGGAAATCATGTGAAATTTAATATACATGATTTTTAGTATAATATAACATAATTCATTGATTTGATCTATTAAATTTGTATTATACAAAAAGTTATTACATATATTAGATTTGATGTAAGTGTTTAGACTTACACCTAGTGTCAACAAATCTTGATTCTATATATGTATGTGTGTGTGTATGTGTAAATATGTGTGTTTGTGTGTGTGTATAAAAAGAGAGAGAGATGGATTCACTTGCTCTACTAAATCTTGATAGACTTATTTCACTCAATAACTCATATTTTACATCAAATTTTAATAATCTCATTGTTAAATTAAAAGTTGTTAATATATACACCAAGTCTATGATTTTTTTTTTTTAATTTAAAAATCATATAATATTTCATTATATAAATTCAAATTAACATATAAGATATTTTTATGATTATTTGTCAATTTTAATTAATTAAACGAAATATCAAATAGTTTTTAAATATTTTTTTTAAATTTGTAGATTTAATCTATGCATTAAATTTTTTAATGATTAGATCATATTAAAATTTGATATAAAACATTAGTTATTAAAAAGAGTAAGTTTATCAAAACCAAATAAATAAATTTGGTCGCTACGAAATACTCATATTTGGCCTCTCGAGGATTTTATTTCATAATACTTCACTTTTCAACATGTTTTGTCCTTAATTAAACAATTTTTGGGAAACTTCCCAGAAGGTCACCCATCCCTATATTACTCCAAGTCAAGCACGCTTAACTGTGGAGTTCTTATGAGATAAGTTACAGAAAGGCATATGCATATTGCCAGTATAGGTAGTACAAATTAATTCATTTAAGTCATCCTCAAATATACAATCTCATACTTATACTATCTTT